TTGAGCCCTGTCATGTTGAAGAGTGAGTTGGTTATAGAGGAACATTGAATTAAAAGTAAAAAAAAAAAATCTTTCTGTGTAAATATCCCCTTGCGGCTTATAGAGAAGCGCGGCCTATATATGTACAATTATTTTTTTCTTGGAGCTGCCTAAATTCAGGTGCGCTTAATAGTCCAGAAATTACGGTATTCATTTTGACTAGATATCTACACGCTAGGTTGAGGAACAGAGTGGCTTAAGTACAGGCGCGAACCGTCAGGTCTACACAGATTATAAGGTCTTCATGCCAAAGTTTGAGCTGTCACACGAGGTGTGTTCAGGTACCATCAGAAACTTGAGAATCTGATGATTAGGATTTTTTATATGTTGTAGGGTTTCAGGGCAAATGGTTATTAAAGGCCATTGTATTGTACTGTACTAATGTAATTATGTGACGTCTTACCGTATGGGTCCATCTGCAGAGGCATTAATGTGAACCCTGACCTTCAAGGACACCACATTTGTGAGCACAGACAGGAGGTCATCGCGTGTTACCACAGCATTGGTCAGATTGTCAACAAGCTGCGCCGGCACAATCTTAACGACAACAGCGCTCTCAGCCAACGGTGAAAGATGAAGCACGGGACGAGTGGACGTGCGAAGAGCTCGTTCATTTCCCTGAAGAAAAGATGGATGACCGTAGGTATTGGAGTTTATACAGATATGCCATGTTTATGGTGTTTGGCTATTACAATTTATAATGTTTTTCACCTCAATGATGATGTCAGACAGTGCAGGAAGGGAGCGGTCGATGTTGTCCATCGGGGCGTCGTAAACCACAGAGTAGTTCAGGTAACCTCCATATGACATCAGCTACACAAAGGGAGAGTAAAAAAAATCGGTATAAAAAATGCTATTTGTTATTAGCACTAGTAAGGGAGTTTTTTTAAAGGGCCGGAACGGATTAATTTTTTTCTGTTATTTCTTATAGGCAAAAAATGGTCTCGAGGTTCCACTGTGGTCGTTTGTACGGATAAATAAATAAATATTACCAGGCACTTAATAGTATTTCAATTCTGTCCCCTATGTGGGGGACATGGGGGGGTATAATTGCGAAACACTGCTTTAACCTCAATCACCTTAGTGCGCAGGCGGCACTTAACTTCCTTATTCTCCAGGCTAACCTGACCTGCTATATGGGTACCGGCTGATATCGGAATCAGAAATTAAGTGTTTGGACAATATCACCATATCAGATATCGGCAAAACGTTAATAACAGACATCCCTACTAGTATGTATGCATATGTGTGTATATATATAT